CGATAAATGCGCAGAATTTGTTTATATTCGGGGGAAGGTAATTGCCTCCTTGATTGATTGGAGGTGGGACGACGAGGGGGGAAGGGGAGAAGGGAAGCAGAGGTCAGGATATGGGAAGGAAGAGGAGGATAGGAGGGGAGATCGGGATAGGAATGGGAAAAAAGAAGAGGAGAGAAGGGGGGGGTCGGGATGGAAAAGGTCGGGGGATGGTACAGGTCGGGACGACGAGGGGGGAAGGGGAGGACGGAGGGAGAGGTCGGGATATAGGAAGGAAGAGGAGGACAGGAGGGGAGATCGGGATACGAAAGATCAGGGGAATGGTACAGGTCGGGACGACAATGTCGGAATAGGGGAAGGAAGGGGGAAGAGAGGGGGAAGGGTGTCGTGGAAAGAAGGACGATGTCCGGATAGGGGAGGTCGGGGAAGAGATCGGGATGTGAGAGAGAGAGAGAGAGAGAGAGACAGAGAGAGAGACAGAGAGAGAGATTTGTGTGTGTGTGTGTGTGTGTGTGTGTGTGTGTGTGTGAGAGAGAGAGAGAGAGAGAGAGAAAGAGAAAGAGAAAAAGAGAAAGAGCCAATTGGTAGAACTGACACAACAGGTCACACGGAAAAACATCTTTCGTTTTTGCCATCCATATCAAATACTGAATTTCTACGTCCTCGATCCTCACAATCTCTGCTCTTTTCGCCGCAAGCGGAGCCGCGGCGGGTCCACCTGTTCGTAATAAAACCCTCTTATGTTGTACCACTTGTTCGTAATAAAATCCTCTTATGTTGTACGTACAACACGAAAAAAAATACCTACGCACAATCCTACATTGTGTTAGCACGACTCTTTCTTGAGTGGTAATCTCCAACCAATGAATTTCTCCAACACCCCCCCCTCTCCCCTCCCCCCCCCAATTAGGTGCCCCCACTCCCCCCCCAATTAGGTGTCCCACCATCGCCCCCCTGAAATAATATCCCCTCCATTGCACCCCATCTTCCCCTCACCCCCCTTCCTTTCAATTTCTCTTTCCAAATTTCGAGCGGCAAACTCTTCTTCCATCAAGGGGTGCAAATTTGGGCCCATCAAAATGGGACCATCAGATTGGAACTTGGAGGACATGTTAGTAGCTCCTGCAGCTGCAGGAAAAAGTTACGTCAAAGTCAAAGTCAAAGTCAAAGTCAAAGTCAAAGTCAAAGTCAAAGTCAAAGTCAAACTGGCTCTTGTTCAAACTCGTCTGTTTCGCTTTCATCTTCGACGTTGTCAGCGTCCTCATCTTCGACATCCTGCTCGTAATCGTCATGTGTACCGTCCGCTGGTCTCTGACCGATCGGAATCAAGTCTTCATTGGACCGTCGGATCTCGTTCCACTGTTATCACGCAGAACAGACACAAACAGACAAACAGAAAATGAACGGAGAGGTCGCCTTATGTTCCGCTTCGATACAAAGGATGTGCTGCAACTGCAGAGTAAAAATTTCAACCACTCTATAACACACACACACACACACACACACACACACACACACACACACACACACACACACACACATACGCACACACACACACACATGGGGTTCATCCTCCTGATGAGTCAGTAGAAGTCCGACAAAAAAGTCGGTCACCATCAGGCGTCCATTGTGTGGAGTTGTTTTATGGGGAACATGACCACAGACAAACACACATGTAGACGCTGAGAGCGACCGGGGACAGGGTGTTGAAGCCAGCGCAATGTCATCGAGTATACGATACGGTGCAATCAGTAGTCCGTGGATTCACGCGGCAGTTCATGCTGCTGCTCTGTCCCGAGAGAACGAGTGATGTGGAACGTGCGGATGGAGGAGCTCAGTGTGAGGAAGAAAATGGTGAAGACCTCCATGGCTATGGAGTAGTAGGGGGAGAAGGGAAGATGTCCAATCTATGGACACAGAATGAGAAGATGCTCAAGCTAGGTTATGAAGGTAGATGGAAAGAGGTGATCTGAGATACATAATGAGAACTCTCTCTCTCTCTCTCTCTCTCTCTCTCTCTCTCTCTCTCTCTCTCTCTCTSTSTGTGTGTGTGTGTGTGTGTGTGTGTGTGTGTGTGTGTGTGTGTGTGTGTGTGTGTGTTGTCACGAACCCCAAACTCTCTCTCTCATTCCATCCACAAACCATCACAGACCACAATACAAAAATGCGTGTGTGTGTGTGTGTGTGTGTGTGTGAGTGTGTGTGTGTGTTGTCACGAACCCCAAACTCTCTCTCTATTCCATCCACAAACCATCACAGACCACAATACAAAAATGCGTGTGTGTGTGTGTGTGTGTGCGTGTGAAGTGCCCTGGAGACTCTTCGCACAGTATGCCGAGCCACATAATGTATGTACACACGTGGGTTTCCACCCGGGCCGCCGGGGTCAAGTTGGTTGCCTGGGCTGCCAAGCGGGCGAGATGCACCAGTCATTCTGAATGTGGGTGTTGTCATATATTCTCATTCGTTGAACCACGACAGACGTCGACAGTCTGTCACCAGTCTGCCCCGGATGCATTTGACGGATGGACAAGGACTCACCACATCGTCCAGAGTTAGCGAGACCCATCCCTGAGAGAGAAAAGCGGTCGACATTTCTCATTCGGACGCCGTAATCCTAGCAGACTGCCGCCGCAAGTCTGAGAAACTGTATGTGTACTACACACACACACACGCACACACACACACACACACGGGGAACAACACGCCTTCTTTTTGTGTGTTTTGGGATCCCTACGCTAACCTTTTCTGTATTGTTCCAATTTGAACGGATGTGAAGCATGGACACAGAGCAAAACACAAATAGGAAAACGTTAAAACAGACTAGACGCGAAATACAGGAAAATGCAGACACAGCAGAGACAACCATAAGAAAACAGCAGAGATTGTCTTTTGCATGCAATTGCCGTGGTTCGGTTCGCAATTCCACGCTGTATTTTCTCCAGCACCCTTGAAATTCATACAGTGATGCCTCCAAGTTGTGCCCTATTACTGCTGAAATCCTTCGTCCGTCCCTCCCTCCCTCCCTCCCTCCCTCCCTCCCTCCCTCTGTGCCTGTGGCCCCCCTCTGTTTTGCTTTCGTTTCCGGATCGCCTACCTTCTCCTCGAGTTCATGCTCCTCGTACGCAAGCTGCGCCTCCTCGTTCTGTTGCTGGAGCCAACCCGTAATGTCTTCTAGTGTAGGCGCCACAAGGCTCGGCAAATCCATGAGCACGTCCAATTGCTCGAGAGCGTGGGGAGTGCCCCCTGCGGCACACGCGCTGCCGCCAATCGTGTCCAATCCCTCCTTGCGTGACTTGTGTATTCTTGCCGCACGATCCGGTGATCGGGAGATTTAACTCAGCAGCAGCTCTGCAAATAGAGAGAAGGGGAAGTAAATTCCTTTTTTTTGGGGGGGGGTCACTTTTTTTAATTTTTTTTCTTTTTTTTTCCCTGACAATTCCTCCGGGATTGTGATCGAATCGTTCGCCTGACCTGTTAAGTGCTGATGATGCAGACATCTTTGTTTACGAGTCATGATGCAGGCACCTGGCACAGACTGTTTTTTTTTTTTTTTTAAGAATTTTTAAAGGAAAAAAAACGTCAGGATGCCTAACTGAGCAAATTACGTACCAGGGCACGATAGCAATATGCCCATTTCTTTGTTTCCCATCTGTTTTTCCTTTTTTTTTTTTGGGTCACTTTTTTCTTTTTCTTCCTTTTTTTCTCATCTGAATTTTCTCCTTACGTTGCTGTCTTTTTTATCCTCAATCTGTGTCCTTCTGAGTTTCCTTTTCCTTTCTCTGTGTCCTTCTGAGTTTCCTGCATGTTCATGCGTTTTTTTTTTTTTTTTTACAAAAAGCCGAATCGTTTCATTAATAGATTGAAAACCGGGGTCGGGGACCTCGTGCATGTTCATGCTGATTACTTTATTCTTGCTCTGTTCTTTTTTGCTTCTGGGTGTTTCAATATTTTTTTTTTTGTATTTACTATTTATCATCATTATCATCAACTTCTTCCTGCCAAAAGAAAATCGTCATCATCATCATCATCATCATCATCATCATCATCATTTTCCAGCCAAAAGAGTATCATCAGGATCATTTTCCCGCCAAAAGCGAATCAACATCCCTCTCCTCCTCCTCCTCCTCCTCATCATCATCATCATCATCATCATGACATCACAAGTTTCCCCCCAAAAACAAATAATTATCATCTTCTTCCCGCCAAAGCCAATTCATCATCTTCATCTTCATCTTCATCTTCATCTTCATCTTCATAATGACATCATAAGTTTCCCGCCAAAAACAAATAAACAACGTCATCATTATCATCTTCTTCCCGCCAAAAGGAATAATTCATCATCATCATCACCATCATCATCATCATCATCATCATTTTCTCACCACAAGCCAATCACCATCATCAACATCATCTTCTTCCCACCACAATCAAATCATCATCATCATCATCATCATCATCATCATCATCATCATCATCATCATCATCCTACCTCCGTTGAAAAGGTTGGGAGTCTCAAACCAGATGAATGTTTTCTAAAACATTATGCGCCCCCCCCCCCCCCCCCCCGCAAAAAAAAAAAGAAAAGATGCGAGTCCAAGTTTTTTAAAGAAATATGCAAAAAAAAAAACAAAAAAAAAAACAGATGCGACTCCATGTATGTTGGGAAATTCAACCCCGATGGAGGAGTCCTTAGTTGTGTTAGTGCTGAAAAGGCTTAAAAGGCCAGATTGAAGGAGTCTATACATAGAATAGACTCTATATCTATACACTATAGACTCACAAGAGCATCTACAGTAGCTGCAAGAGAGTCTATAGAGGGAGGAGTCCAGCGACAAGAGCATCTATAGACTCGAAAGAGCATCTATAGACCCGAAAGAGCATCTATAGTCGGTTGAAGGAGTCTATACTATATATAGACATTCCCTTGTGAGTCTATAGATGCTCTTCTGTGTGTGTGTGTGTGTGTGTGTGTGTGTGTGTGTGTGTGTGAGAGAGAGAGAGAGAGAGAGAGAGAGAGAGTTACTCGAGATGCTTTTGCAAGAGAGTATAGATTTGATACCTGCAATGAAGCATCATTGTCTATAGATTCACTAGCTGCAAGGAAGCATTCATTCTATACATATAGCTTTACTCGTTAGTGTTGAAGTTAGGAGGGTAAAAGTGCAAACCCCGATGGAGAAATTAAGGATAGGGTTTCACCTTTCAAGGGTATTGTGAAGCAGGGTGACAGAGAGAAAGAGAGAGGGAGGGAGGGAGAGAGAGAGAGGGAGAGAGAGCACTCGCCGCTCTCCAGTCTGATTGGAGACAATTTTGCATGTGGCAGGAGTGCAGATAGAGCGTACAGTCTGTAGGCAGTGGAATCCTCTTGCAGTGTAGAACTAGCACATCAACACGAGAGTGCTCAGTCGAAGGTAAATCCGCAAGAGGTCTATGCTTCGCCATGTTAGTGCTGTGCGCTAAGATGTGCCATGCGATTCTATACCATGTTATGCAACGGTATATACCTCTCTCTCTCTCTCTCTCTCTCTCTCTCTCTCTCTCGCTTACAAGGAGGTATCCGCATGAATGCTTGGTACCTTGGATAAAGGAAGATCATCCTTGAGGAGGCAGGATTCCTTTGCGTAATTGGCTCAAGACATACTCTCCAGTGTCCATGAGCTCGCGAATGTTATGACAGGATCGCTGATCTTTGGACCTCTCGAAGAAGGATCGAACCTCCACCTTGCGGGTCTCCCGGGCCGCAAGGCCCAGCCCCAAGTCCTCACGACAAAGCTCCCGTAAAATATGCCTATACAGTCTCAGAACGCCCGCCTTATTCCCAGCCAATAACTCTTCCGACGCCCACAGAGAAAACCTCTCTCTCTCTCTCTCTCTCTCTCTCTCTCTCTCTCTCTCTCTCTCTCTCTCTCTCTCTCTCTCTCTCTCTCT